ACATTTTAAGTCCTTTGGTGCAGATGACCATAACCTTTAAAGACTTTCCAGATAAATACTTTTATTTCTGTCTACACATGCACACACACACACACATACACATACTCATGTACGTACACAGAGAAGCTGAGCTACAAAGCAGAATGACAGGAGACCAGTACAGAAATCCAGAGAAAAATCTGCTACTCGCATGTGTTACAGTCCTGCTAAACAGCATCTGAGAGAATAAAAATTTAAGGGGCATTTCAAACTCTTGTTTTGGAGCTCTCATTTTGAATGAGAGTGAGGCATAATCCTAAAATAGCATAAATGGGCAACCATAAAAATTTACATAGCGTACAGATACCTAGTTTAGCTGAGCTGTGTGTTCCTGGTTGGAAACACTGAAAGTACTGCAGCTTGTCTCTCCGACTGCTTGAGTATTTGTTATGTATACACAAAGTTATCACTTAAACTGGGTAATATTTGTATTTCCGTTGCAACTTTTAGAGAATGGAAKATGAAACTCAGTGAAACATGGAGGAGTCTGCAATGTATTTTGTTAGCAGAGCCAAGCAGCAAGGGAGGCTTAGCATCTAGCTATTGATGAGACATCCTGATGGTAGGAAATGAAAAATGCAGCATTGCAAATCGAGTCTAGCTGCACAGAGGCACTGGAAATGTTGTGTTTTCAGTGTCTGGGCCCAGTYCTTTTTGAGCCTGCATGATGTGGTGTTAGGCTTTATCAATACCAGCAGTTTGTATTTCTCTTAGTCAAGTCAAGTGGGATATATATTCCATCTTTAGATTTGGGGGTGGCTTTACATCCTCTTTGTGTATAAATAAGAAAGTTATTGAGTTTTCAATAGGAGTTTCAGACAAAAACAAAAGGATTAAGAGAAAGCTAGGGAAGTCTATACAGCAGCTGAGCAGGCCCTGATTTCATGCTGGGCTAATAGAGGAACTGCTCTAGGGATAAATAAATGGATTTTGGCCTCTGGAAATGTTATTTTCTCTAATGATAAGAAGAGCAAAGGGATCAGCTAAAACTCAATATTTACCTTGGGTTCCAGGAGGCCAGTTTTCCTCTGGAACTTGTCCTGGGTGTGTGAAGCTCCGCATCTGCCTGTGATTTTGCAGCACTAGGAGAGGGTCAGTGTGCAGCAATAGGAG